CAAGGGGTTGTTGAAGGCAGACAGAATTGAACCATATTGCCAAACCTCTGCTGCACACAGGAGAGGTCTTCCTAATGTTGGAGCCCGGTTCACAAGCAAGCAGACGGGGAAGGGTTATGTGAGATCTCTGAACCAATTCAGCAAGCTTGATTGGTTTCAAGATCATGGTAGAGGATGCAAGCATGAAGAGCTTACAGCTTATGGGGAAATATCCTGTAATCTCTGTTAGCAGTAGGGCGAATAATAAAAATATTTAAAATATCTGGCAGTTGGAAATGAACAAGAGATAATGTTTTGTATGCCAAAACAAGCCAAACTAAATCCATGTGTTTTACTTTAAATCCAGGCCAATGATCTGACTCCATGAGGTGAAGCACAAACCCTGCCCCCCCCCCCTTCCTAGAACACAGGGATTTGAGGAAGGAAAAGACGGTTGGGGACTGGCCCTCTTTAAGAGTGGACGGAGAAAATCCATCTCCAACTCCCCATGGTGTTCTGACGGATGGCCTGAGTTCTGAGAAACAGCACATCTCAGGGACAGAACTTGAGATGAGCTCCTAGCATGGGTTCAGCAAGGATTGCAAGGAAAGAGATCCTGTAAATCTGAGGAAACTGCAGTAGCAGTTTACCGACAACGCTTTAGTTGTATAAGCCAAATTGATTGGCAGTTATGACCAAGGGTCGGAAGAAGGAAGAGAAAGGCGGAGATTCTGCCAGAGAGCTTCGGCTATCCACAAATTAATAGTATCATTTTATTTGTTCATTTTTTACTTGTAAATACATTTTCTCCTATTCTCTGTAGATTTACTCACATCTGTTTTCAGGCTTTAGATTTCCTTTATTTCATACCACTTTCAAATAAGATTTAATATTGTGACTAGTGAGATAGCAGTAAACTTTTCGACATTAGAAAAAATTATTTAGAACAATGCTAAACTTCTCAAATTTTTGTGGAGCCACTTGGAGGTAAATATATTTCCTTAAAATGTACCTTTTGATTACTGTTTGCGAGAAGGGATTATGGTTATATAATCAGCATCACTCCTAATTTCAATTATCTAGTAAAAGTGAAGTGTGTAAATAATTTGATTAGAATCATTTTAAAAGTTTTTGTTTACTAATTCAATAGTTCGAATATTTGTAAAGAACCGCAGGATAAAAACTAATCAATAGATTTAGTTTAATTTTAAAGAACTTGTGTTTCATAGAATAAATGTGAACAAAACATTGATAAAAGAATAGGAAACCGCAGAAGAAATATCTAATTAGTATCTCTTTTAAGGGAGTGAACGACAGGGAGTATTCACTTGGCTTCTTGAAGTGAAAAAGGAACTGCTTACTCGCCTCTAACTCTAATTTTATAATCCTTTTATACTTCAAACTTTTGCTTGCAATCTACACTTTTTTATCACTGAATATTTAAATTATCAAATTAAGAATGTACTTGCTAGTTACAGAAACTCTGATATTTAAAGATATTTAAAACAACAAATTCTCCATGAGTAAAAAATTGTGAAGCCTGGAAAAGTGTATTTGTGAAAATTAAAATTTCTTACAATTCTCTTGTCATATTTTCGTCTGCACGTAAGTTGAACACGTATCCAAATTATTTAAAAATTTAATTAAACAGATTTAAGAATTCATCGTTATAGGGCAAAAACAACTCTAAAGTGTTTCCAAACTGTTAAATGCCCTGATTGTTGTTATTACATAGTGAAACTTTTCCCTTTGATCTGTGTTGCATCTTGAAGCATAAAATATCTTTATATAGATTTGAAAATAACTTAGTAGTAAAAAGCCAAGACTGAGTGGAATAACGAAGCATGGTTGTACACATAACTATGTTTACATTTTAACAATACAAGCGGTTGGACTAACTAAAGTTGATCTAAATATACAAGTGTTAAAATTAATTCGAAATATAAGGAAGACGATTTTTCCGACTCAAATGTCGTAGACTTTTCTCCAGATGTATGCGTACTCAAGATCTATTTCCTCCACGTAGTGCCCACATGTCGAACCCCGCTTCTTCTCCCCCCCCCCTTCTACAGATCCCAGCCCCGGCAGTCAGCGAAGAACACTGGAGATGATAACAACTCCGTCTCAGGGAGCAATCCTGGCTCCTTCATAGTGATGATGCAGATACCTATAGCTACCAACAGACGATGCTTATATCCAGCTCAACATTGTTCCAAGAGTTCCAAAATTATCAGGCGTACATTGAGATGCATTCCCTCATATTCGAAACTGATAAAACCGCGATCTCTCACCCTGTTCCAAGGGTTCTACTTCTCCTCTACAAGAGGATACTCACCCTGTTCCAAGGGTTCTAACTCTCCTCTACAAGAGGATACTCACCCTGTTCCAAGGGTTCTAACTCTCCTCCACAAGAGGATAATCTCAACTCTAATGAGTTTGCTAAGCGAACCTGGAGAGAGCAGAAACCTGTTGTTCCAGTTCTAGTTGATCTGCACCACCAATATGAAGTTATACATTACCAACATGAAGTTGCTGCTGATATTTGTCTTTTTCCTTTATTAATTTCTAAACCAACCAATTTACAATCTTTGTGTCTTGGTCAAATTTTTCAAAACAATATTATTTTTCTTAAATAAATGTTATAGAATATTTGGTTTTTTTTCTGATTTCTTTATTAGAATATTTTTGACTTTTTAAAGGTCAACAATAGTTTACACACTGTTAAACACTGATAAAGTCTACCCTATATAGCTTACACACTGTTAAAACTATAGTTTAAACACTGTTAAACACTGATAAAGTCGACCCTATATAATTTACACACTGTTTAAACTATGTTAAAGTCTATCCTAAAGCCCGTATTAAAACCATAGACAAGATAACCTTGTTAAAACCATGTTAAAGCTCTAGATAGGATACACACTGAAAACTCAGTGTAAAACCCCTAGATAGGATACACACTGTAAGACCATGTTAAACCCCTAGATATAGGAATCATAGGATACACAAGGTAGAAAACCGTGTTAAACCCCTAGATAGGAATAATGGATACACACTATAAAAAACTGTGTTAAACCCCTAGATAGGATACACACTATAAAAAATTGTTTTAAACCCCTAGATAGGATACACACTATAAAAAACTGTGTTAAACCCCTAGATAGGAAACACACTATAAAAAACTGTGTTAAACCCCTAGATAGGATACACACTATAAAAAACTATGTTAAACCCCTAGACAGGATGCCCACTGTAAAACCAGTTTTAAACCCCTAGAACGTGTTCACTGTACACACTGAAAAAGACCGCCGTGGTAAAACCTTTGATAGGATACACACCTTGAATGTAGAAATAACTATTAATAAGAGTTTTATTAAATTCTATTAAAGTTACAGTATTCAGAATACAGGATATAGGATACAGGATACAAAATTCAGGATACATAACAGAGAAGAAAGGATACAAGAAATTGGATACAGGATAAAGGGTACAGGCTACAGTATGAAGAATACAGGATACCTGTGAAGCTCATTCATTCTTAACTCTAGGATCTCAAGTTCATGCTCTTCAGCATTTGCCTAAAAAAACAATACTTTATCTATTTATGCCAAAACATCTTCAATCTCTAATGAGCAGAGTCCTAAAATCCGCCAAAAGTACACAAGAGTGGATCTTACAGTCGTTGTCAAATATATAAATACAACGAAGACGACTCTCGATATCAAGTTTTTATTTCTACAGGGTGTCCCAAAAAAACATGGGAATTCAGTGACGAATTCGATATCGTCTTTTTAACTAATTCTTTTATATAGTATAGTGATACTATAGTGATGTATGAGTTTCGTCTGCTATGTTTACATTTTGTTTGTTTATGTTTTGACTGCATACGGTTGTACTTAGTAAAACAAGCAAATTGCAGTATACAAACAGAGTGAACTTGTCCGTATTCACTGTTCATCTTGCGGAGACATTATAGACACATATTTACAGTCTTTTACCCTTTTCATAAAATAAACTCTAGCAGAAATAATAATATTATGGCTTTTGAAATTAGGTATTTCAATGCTAATTCATAACAAAGACGATATCGAATTCGTCACTGAATTCCCATGTTTTTTGGGACACCCTGTACCAAGCTTAAAGCGCTTTTTTATCGCATTAAGCCTATACCCCCTTTCATTTTTCGCGAACACTCCCTTTAAAATTGAATCAATAAAGATGTATTTTTTAAAATTTAAAAACATATGATTATTCTCTTTCTTGAATATTTTCAATTTCTCTTCAATAATAAAATATAAATAAAATATGCTAAATATGCTAAACAAACCTGCGTTTTCAAGACAAATTTTAATTTCTCTTTCAACCTCATTTTCTAGATATATAGAACAGAATATTATTCATTAAATATACCTAAAATAATATTTAATTTATATCGAATTTAGAAATTATGTGAAAAATAATTAAATTACGCATTAAATTAGTAATATTAATATTCAATACATGTTCAAGCCAAATATTTTAAATATTAACATTTTAGTCTACGAAACAAACGACATTTTTTTTATCTAGTAATATGTCAATATTTTTCATAATTTCATATAGATGGTGACCCGCAAGTTATAAGACGACCAAATCATTTAGATTACTAAAACTAAAGAGTTCCGGGTCGTCCTTGAAAGCCTCATTCTTTGTGGGTTGTATTAGATTATATCTTAAAGTTATATTTCTGTTTCCCTGGAAGGTCTTCAGTCTCCATGTCTTCATCCTCTCTTTTTTTGCAGTTAAATATAAATAAAAATATGTTAGAAGAACATTACACTTTTTGAATACGAAATTATATTAGATCCTTAGAATTAAATGATTAACTTCAAAATCTGTTCGTTTCTTGGTTTGATTGTTTTAAAACATAGTTAGATTTTTTCGCAAAATATTGGAAATCTGCGAATAGGAAAATCCGCGAAATTATGTATTTTTGTTGCCCCTGTAAAATATAGAATATAATTGCTAAATATTTAAATCTGCATTCCTTGAATCTATTCCCTCTATATCTAGGTAAAACCAGATAATTCGAATTTAATATTTTTTTTAATTGAAAATTTATCATTTATTCTGAAATAATTATCTATATTTGTTGATTTTTCTCTGTTTATCTTTACCATGATTAAAAACAACAATACGTGGAATAAATTAATCAAAAGAAATTAAAAATCATTAGCATTTAATTATTCTTATTCTCCTCAACAAATTTTTAGCTAAAAATAAAATTATTTTGTCAATTTTCTTTTGTAAGATAAAAAACAAAAGAATTGCAAAACTGACAGGTTTTTCTTGATTTTGATGAAAGAAAAAGAGTAAAATATTTTTTTAATTTAATTGTATCTCTGTTTACCCTGAAATCCCTGCTTGATTCCCTCAAAATCTAGAAATATCAGAAAATCCTCTTCTATATCAGCGTACCCTAAAGAAAATTATAAATACGACATTTTAAGACTAATTTAAAGGGACTGTAGAATGTATTTTAAGTGACCCTCTTAAAAAGTGTCTTGCGCATTTATGCAGTAATCCAAAAACGGACATTGTCAGAATTCACCACTTTTATATAATCTATAATTTCAAAAATTAAATACCTGAACCACATGTTTTCAGTACATTCAATATATTTCCCATGTTGGTCTAAAATTCATGAAAAGTTAATTTTACATCTCTACTGTCTAGTGTTCACCATTCGGTTTTTTACAGATATGTAAAAATGTACATATATATGTACAGCTCCTATTTTTAACCGGCCCGGCCTTTAATCGACAAAGTGAAATTTTACCGTACCGAATCTATTGTACAGGGTGTCTCAATAAACATGGGAATTCAGTGACGAATTCGATATCGTCTTTCTAAATAATTCTTAGATTTAGTATAGTGACTTATACCTACTGAGAAAGCTGTAATCTGTAAGAGTTTCGTCTGCTATATTCACATTTGTTTGTTTATGTTTTGACTGCATACGGGTGTACTTAGTAAAGCAAGAAAATTGCAGTATACAAACAGAGTAAACTTGTCCGTCTTCACTGTTCATCTTGCGGAGACATTATAGACACATCTTTACTGTCTTTTACCCTTTTCATAAAATAAACTCTAGCAGACATAATAGTATTATGGGTTTGAAATTAGGTATTACAATGCTAGTTCATAACAAAGACGATATCCAATTCGTCCCTGAATTCCTATGTGTTTTTGGGACACCCTGTACCTTCGTTTCCAAAGTGTTTAAGAATATGTTACGATTTGTTCTGAAAAACTAGTAAATTTTACTGACAAAGAAAATATTTCAGAGATATTTTGTAGAAAAGTTAAGAATCATTTGCCGACTCAAACTCTGCATCTTGAGAAGAAAATAAAAAAAAATATATTTGAATTGTTTCTGTCTGAAAAGAAAACAGAAAACACACCGGGTGTCCCACGAAACAAGACAGTTGGTGAATAGTTTTGAATGTCTTCTTCCACATACTGTATTAGATATTTTGCAGTTGATTTCTTGAAAAAAAATGTTTAACTCGTATATATTTTACTGTGAAATCAATTTTACCATAATATAACTGTCATACAGTGAAACCCTCAATAACGAATACATCGAAAGAATTCATCAAATGTCGTATTCTTCACTTTCTGATAATGGAATGTTGCAGATATTCAGTTTTTTAATTAAATGATTATATGGAAATCTTTAAAACTGTTCCCGCATATTAATGGCTATTTATCTATTTTTCGCAAATACTGAAATTTACGTAATATAGTATAAAACTCATTGAAAAATTGTCAAGACGACATTTGATAAATACTTCCGATGTATTCGTTATTAAGGGTTTCACTGTATAAAAAATGTTATTAGTCTCTTTAGTATCAAACAACTTATCAAATTATGGAAGACGACATTTTAAACTATTCACCAACTGTCATGTTTCGTGGGACACCCTGTACTTGAAGATAGATTAAATATTCTCACTCGAATGCACTAGGGGAGTCTATAATATAAAAATGGACTTTTATTTATTTATGATGTAGATATATAAATTGTTTGTAAATAAATATATTATATATATTCATTCATTTGCCCAGCATTGTATTTTTAGATATAGATGAGGGGTGTATATTCTCAAAACTGAAATATCAAAAAAACTTTTTGGGTTTAAATATCTTCAGGAGAATTTTCTCAAAAGTTTTTTTCACTTTCCAAACTTAATTAATGTAATTTTAAAATTAAAACTTAAAATATGTACATCTAAAAAATATATCCTAGCCTCAGCGCTCGGCTCCCAGCGCGTAGAGTGCCCTAGTCACAGCCCCCGACCTAGCCTCTAATACAAAATGTTCTGTAAGTTCATATTTTTTTTTTGTAATGTTGGTGATGGGATCATGTGGGGGAAGGGGAGGTTCCCAATTCTCGATTCGACCGAAAAGAGAATTTTTTAGAAAAATATTTTCCCCTGTTTCATTGAGCCTGACCTAGCTAAACAAGATGGCAGTGTCAGGTTCCTAATTTCAGTATTAATGAATACAGACAGAGAGGGAGGAAGAGATTTTATACATTTAGTAGGGATGGTTTGGATATCAAACCATTTTGCTTGAGTAACAATTGAAAGTTGAAACAGAAGATGGGCACGAAGCGCCGTGATCGCCTGGTTTGTTTAAAGTTAATCAAAACCTACGCAAAGGTCAGTATCTTGTTGGTTGTTGTACAGTATCTGGTTGGTTGTTGTACAGTATCTTGTTGGTTGTTGTACAGTATCTTGTTGGTTGTTGTACAGTATCTGGTTGGTTGTTGTACAGTATCTGGTTGGTTGTTGTACAGTATCTGGTTGGTTGTTGTACAGTATCTGGTTGGTTGTTGTACAGTATTTGGTTCGTTGTTGTACAGTATCTTCTTAGTTGTTATACAGTATCTGGTTGGTTCTTGTACAGTATGTGAAAACCAGAAAACTGTGGAAGAGGAAGACGACTTTTAGACTCAAGTAGTAATACAAAATTGTACATGGAACAGCTATTGTGCATAGTGTGCATTTGACCTTCACACTTTATAATTTATTTTTAAGCTTTAAGTAAACCTTTTTGCTTTGTAACATTACATAAACATTGCTTTAATGTCGTCTTTCTAATCCACAACTTTCTGGTTCTTACTGTACAAAACAATCACAGCAAGTTTGATAATGTGCAAGACGTTTCGAATCCCGCCAGTTAGGAACTGAAAGATAATAAATACATGATTCATTCTCTTATCAAACATTTTCCTTCCGGCTAAAATAAGCAATTTAGAGGCTGGCCTAGATTATGGCTTGTTATAATTACTAATCTATTTTTGGCATCAGCTGCTTAAAGTTTGGACTTTTCCCACAGGGTTACCCAAAAAGAATGAGAATTAACTGACGACCTGAAACTTTGATAAATATTATGATTGAATGTCTGAGTCAGTCTTGTTTAAGGTGTTTTTTTTTAAATTTTGAATTATACAATTAATGATTTTCAAATTTTATTGAACCGATTATAACCTATTTCTAAAATGTTTGTTTAGAAATTAAATGCTTATTTTTAGATTTTCAAATAGAATATCTTGCAAGTTTAAAGGGACTGTAAAGGAAAAATGAAAGGGGGAATAGGCTGAAACCTGAGAATCTCAGGAGTTGAACGATACCTATATGACATCTATCAGATGTTACTGTCTCGAGAAATTGACATAAAACTGTGTCAAAATTATACAAAAACGTATATATGTAAGCTATACGTCCGTTTCACGTGACCAGAACTCCCTTCAATGGCAGTGCAGTATAATGGTCACGTGATACAGACGGAGACATGTGACAATAATACTGCACTGCCATTGGTGGGAATTCTGGTGACATGTTTTCATTTCATATTTTATTCAACTACAAAGCACGAGATAATACAAATAAAAAAAATCACAATTTACTATGTAGTTTGGACCCGCCTAACCAGAGTAGGTTGTTTTAATTGGTTGGCCCACTATTAACGAATGAGAATTGCAGATAAAAACAATGTACATTGTACATTTTANTGCACATTTATAATCACTAGGGATATATCCTGTTTTAAAAGAAAGGTTAAACAAATGCGCTATAGGATAGACAATACTTTCAATTATTTCCTTCAGTAGCTTGGTAGAAATATTGTCCTTACCTGAACTGTTTTTAGGTTTAAGTTTACTCACTGTTTCAAGAATAATTTCTGGTGTAATATTTGCAAACACAAAATTTTCCTTGGATGGCTCCTTCAGATATGTTTCAAAATTAACATTAGAATCCGGAATATAACTAGACAATCTGGGTCCAACGTACACAAAAAAGTCATTAAAACCCTCTGCTATTTCAGCAGATCCCAAAAAACTTTTTTATCATCAGTGAAAATTTCAGGAACTGAATGACTTTTTTTCTTAGAAGATATAATAGAGTTTAGTAAAGACCAGGTCTTTTTGATGTCTTTTGAGTATTCTGTAAATTTTGAAGAAAAATAACTAATCTTGGCCTTCTTTATTGTTGTGCGATAAACAGAATTATATTTTCTAAAAGTTTCTATATTTATTTTAGTTGGATTCAGGATTTTTTCTTAAATAATTTTTCTTTTTGTTTTCTTGACACTAGCAAGGCGAACGTAAACCAAGGGTTAACAGAATTTTTATTTTTGTTTGGCTTATATTTAAACTTTAATAAATAAGCCCTTTACACCCATACCCCGTCAGGCATAAGACCCACTCTTTGTGTTCATAAATAATATAAATAATATAAATATAAATATAAATAATCATATCTGTTAAAAATGAAAAATTATTAAATTCAAATAATAATAGAAAGAAACTTAAGTTTTAGGCTCCTCTGGGATATCGTTGTTTTCAAATTGGTTGCGTATTTCTTAAATATGATCTGTTTAATACTACAGATCTTATACAAAATCTTACATATATACGTTTTGATATAATTTTGACACAATTTCTCGAGACAGAAACAGACCCTTTAAGATTGTCAATAAACGACGAATGTGTAATTTCTAATGATTAATACATTCAAACATTCTGTATTTTCTTGATTGCTTATTTTTTACCTTTCAAGAAAAATACAAAACTGAAAACTGTTGAATCTACGCTAATATTTTTTTTAATCGGATGCTAGATGCAAAAGTTTTCAGCCATGTTTAAGCACAAAAAGAAAATATATACTAGAAAATAAAATAAATAAAAAGTTAAAACATAAAAATTGTGATGTTAAAATGATAAAATGGACAACATTGACCACTACGATTTAAAATAGAATACTTTATTTTTGTTTTTATCTTTTTTTATTGAAAGTAAATGTTTAACATTTTATTATGGAGTTTCTCTTGCTCTGGTCGAGAATAAAAAATCAATAATTCTTTAATCCTACGCTTTGAGAGCATGCAATACCTTCCTAGTACACGGGGGGGGGGGCACAGTGGGGTATTAGGGGAGGGTCAGCCAACATGAATTTATTCCATAAACCTCTTATTTATGTCAAATAAGGTTTGGCCCCTAAGAATTTATTATTGAGAGAAGTCTCTACGTTGTTTAAATGTTATATTTTATTAAGAATTTCGACCAAAAACTCGCGATTTTATTAAAAACTCTTAAGATACGATTTTTCAACACGCTACTCTGACAAGGATTTGGGTGCTGCTGGAGACCCTAAATCTTTTCTGTATGGCTGTTGGAATCTAATTATAAATTTAGTTTATCCCGAAACCCCTGTGCTGATTTTCTAACGCCTTTATCCACTCTAGTTTCAGTAGAAGTAAATATTTCCATTTTCTGATTGGGCAGATTGAAGATATCATATCTCTAATTGGATAATGAGATAGATAGAAAGATAGATGTGACTTGTAAACTTGCATTTTGAAATCAAAACTTAAATAAAAAAATCGTCTTCATTGTATTAATATGTACGACGACAACAGTATTATTTGTTTTGTTCATAATCTTTTTTTGATTCCCTCTGTAACATATATCTTTCTTTTAAACTTGCAGATATATTGGTTTGTTAGAAAGAAACAAAATTGATAGATTCCGGCCATATTGTTTATTTTTCTTAGCTTCAAACAAAAGTTTTTCCCTGGTTTGTTGATTTTAAAGATTTGCCGAGGTTAAACTTGATCTATAATGCGTTTACACTTCTCGTAATCCTCTTCTACTGGACAAACAGGTTTAGTGTGTACACAGGATCAACTTTGTTTGTAAACAACAAGTAGATTGTTGAAACAGGTTTATGGAACAAGTTTAAATGGACTGTAGATGTAATTTCAAGTGACCCTCCATTTATTAAGTGTAGGGAGTAAGAAATATTCAGAATAGATTATTGTATACGCGGTAATTGTACCCGTCTGCAAAGCATGTATAATCATATGGTAGGGCGAACCGCGTCAGTTATATCTCCCTTCTATTCTTTACTCCTTGATTGAGTGGCATGTCCGATTTACAACCTTGCAGACCAAGGATGAATGAGATATACTTATTTTTCTCTTTGAAAATTGATTATTTTTAATTGCGTTTTCTCTGTATATATAAGATACCTGAGGATTAGCCGGATTTTTAAAATTCAACGCGTTTGATGTAGAAAAAAAATGTTCTTTCTAATTTTTACTAAAATACTAATTGTACCCCCATAAAGAATACTTAAAATCTCACGTTTTCGGTTGCCCTTAACTAAAAAAGTTGCATAAAAAAGCTTTAATCAATACTGCCTGCAGTGTATGATTATACAATATGTATCATTTCTAAGAAAATATAGATATTTTTTAATAAACGTTTCCATCTCTATTTTTCTTAAATAACAATTTAAAAGGAAGTGTCTAATGAGTCCACTTAAGAAAATTACAAAAATAATTTATTAACACTTGTTATATGGAATTATATATATGATCGAATAGTTTACATACTTCGCCAGGTAAAAGACCTTCACTTTGTGTTCATAAATAAGCCCTTTAAACTCCCATACCTTGCCAGGTAAAAGACCTACTCTTTGTGTACATAAATAAGCCCTTAAAACTTCCATACCTCGCCAGGTAAAAGACCTACTCTTTTTGTTCATAAAGAAGCCCTTTAAACTCCCATACCTCGCCAGGCGTAAGACCCACTCTTTGTGTTCATAATTAAGCCCTTTAAACACCCATATCTCGCCAGGTAAAAGACCTTCTCTTTGTTTTCATAAATAAGCCCTTTAAACTCCCATATCTCGCCAGGTAAAAGACNTACCTCGCCAGGTAAAAGACCTACTCTTTGTGTTCATAAATAAGCCCTTTAAACTCCCATACCTCGCCTGGTAAAAGACCTACACTTTGTGTTCATAAATAAACCCTTTAAACTCCCATACCTCGCCAGGCATAACACCTACTCTTTGTGTTTATAAATAAGCCCTTTAAACACCCATACCTCGCCAGGTAAAAGACCTACTCTTTGTGTTCATAAATAAGCTCTTTAAACTCCCATACCTCGCCAGGTAAAATACTCTTTTTTCATATATTAGCCCCTTTAAACTCCCATACCTCGCCAGGTAAAAGACCTACTCTTTGTGTACATAAATAAGCTCTTTAAACTCCCATACCTCGCCAGGTGAAATACTCTTTTTTCATATATAAGCCCCTTTAAACTCCCATACCTTGCTAGGTAAAAGACCTACTCTTTGTGTTCATAAAGAAGCCCTTTAAACTCCCATACCTCGCCAGGTAAAAGACCTACTCTTTGTGTTCATAAATAAGCCCTTTAAACTCCCATACCTCGCCAGGTAAAAGACCTACACTTTGTGTACATAAATAAGCCCTTTAAACTTCCATACCTTGCCAGGTAAAAGACCTACTCTTTGTGTACATAAATAAGCCCTTTAAACTCCCATACCTCGCCAGGTAAAAGACCTACACTTTGTGTTCATAAATAAACCCTTTAAACTCCCATACCTCGCCAGGCATAACACCTACTCTTTGTGTTTATAAATAAGCCCTTTAAACAAAAATCTGTTTGAAAAAACGAATCCATGTTATTAAGTCAAGGGGGTGAAGATAGTGGGGTGAAAAGTCTTTCAAAACGTAAACATTTGAAAACTTTTAAATCCAACAAGGTTTTTAATTTACATTTTGAAATAATTGCAATCAAAATGACACATGTTTCCATGGGCAGGATTTGACAAAATTTTATTATCTAATATAGGGAAATTATTATTAATTTGGACCGACATTGGGGCTGAATGGTTCAGCTGTTAGAACGTTTTTTTTTTATACAAACCAACCAAGCTGTTATATATTATAAATGGATAAAGAAGAATATAACTTATGACGTGTGTAGTCTTAATAATTCATTAACTTGGTTTTAACTTTTTACAGTCAACAACGCCCGGGTTACAGTCAACAACGCCTAGTTTACAGTCAACATTGCCCGGTTTACAGTCCACAACGCCAGTTTACAGTCTACAACGCTCAGTTTACAGTCAACAACGCCCAGTTTACAGTCAACAACGCTCAGTTTACAGTCAACAAAGCCCTGTTTACAGTCAAAAACGCGCGGTTTACAAATATAAAAAGTTCTAAATAAAAATGTTAAAAAATTATCGTTAACACGCTAAATCTGGAGCCAGTTTAAGCAGTGGATCATTATCTAATTTTAATGTTTTTTTAAAATGAAGATATAGCTTTTCCAGAAAAGATTTATGGATTTTGCAGTTTGCCACTGAAGTATTCCTAAAAATATTCAGAAGTGCAGAAACTCATTATATTGTGGATATCGAGATCAATGCTTAATCTCGCTCTTTTGTTATATACTTATATACTTATATACTTTATTCTTCCTTTGGTACTCGCACACTACAGGAATAACTGAAAAAGGAGATTAAGCATTGATCCTTAAATAAAAAGTGCCCGCAATGGATTTCGATATCAAGAGATCGGGATTATGATTATCAAGCACAATAGTTCCAAGCTCAGGGATCTTCTTTAATTAATATTTCAGTTGCAAATTACAAAATCTTTTTATATAAGAAATTGAAAAAGAATATTCGCTAATTCCAGCGTTTTCTGGCTCTCACTGAAAGAGGAGGGGGGGGGGGGGGATAAAAACTTGAGCTAAATGTGCAGTAATTAGGATGAAAGCCGTCATTAATTAGAGTAATAACATTAATTCAAATGTTATGAGGCTAAATTATAGGTCTCTCTTGTCCTAAACAAACTGCAATAAGGATCTATAATTCCCATGTTATGAGGCTGAATTATAGGTCTCACTTGTCCTAAACAAACTGCAATAAGGATCTATAATTTGCGTTAAAGGGACTGTAGGCGTAATTTCAATAGATCCACAAATTTTAAGAGTTGTACGCCCGATGCACAACGATACATGAACTGTACGTTAATAAAAAATTAAGAAGATATTGTTGTTTTTCTACCCACGATAAACTGAAGTAAATTTTCTAGCTACAAGCCACGATAAACTGAAGTAAATTTTCTAGCTTCTAGCCACGTTAAACTGAAGTAAATTTTCTAGCTTCTAGCCACGTTACACTGAAGTAAATTTTCTAGCTACTAGCCACGTTAAACTGAAGTAAATTTTCTAGATACTGGCTACGTTATACTGTAGTAAATTTTCTAGCTACTAGCCACGTTAAACTGATGTAAATCTCCTAGCTACTAGCCATGTTAAACAGAAGCAAATTAGCTACAAGCCACGGTAAACTGAGGTAAATTGCAAGCATAGATTAGAATCTTGAATCATAACTCCGCCTCTTATTAAAGAGATATTGAGAAGAACAAAAATGTTTTAAATCAATATAATAATCTCATATTTTGGAGTAAAATCAAAACTGCAGGACCTACAAGGTTACAAAGTAGCATAAATTTGACCTTCTTCTTCTGTATGATTTGCAGTGACTGAGAGTTTTAATTTTAGGTTTTAACAAATTCTTCTGCTTTTAGATTTTCAAAAATCGTAAAAATCTTTTTTTTTTCAGGCAAAATTTTGATGCTGAAAAAGTTAATATAATTTATGAATTTTAAATACATGATATATACATAAATTAATTACAATTTTAAAATGTAAAAAAGCACTCTAAAAACTCCTTAATTCACAATATAATACTTCTCATTTCTTTTTCCTTTCCTCTCCTGGAAATAAATATTATCAAAATATATGGTTCCTTTCTTATAGAAAATTATAGAGATCCATTATATCAAGTACAATAAAATATATGTAGTACACAATAAATAGTGCAATACAATTTGCAGTACACAATACATAGTACAATACAATATAAGTAGTGCACAATAAATAGTACAATACAATTTGCAGTACACGCCTCTTAATTCTTGCTTATGTGGTGCTTTGTCTTCACAGGCCGTTGTATAACTTAATTGCAATACAAGATTTGCGTGGTTACTGATAAGCGCATTTAGATCTGTATACAATGTACAACGTAATTGATCTAGGTTACTTTGGGATCTGCCATTGTATTTATTACAAAGAATCTATGGCAAAGTATCTATGGCAAGTGTAGTTGTGGCAAAGTATCTACGGTAAGTGTAATTATGGCAAATACAACTAGGGCAAAAATATTGTGGCTATTGAGACTGATCCACTAAACACTTGCCAAAAACGACTTAGATATTTCAAACTTTAAAAAAAATTTTGAACTAGCAAATTTATAAATTATCAGGTGGCAATTATGTAGGGCCTGTAAGTCCTGAATTTGTTGCGAGTATTAAGTTTTCTTTTATACTGGTATAATTCTCAGCGGACATCTTCAAAAAAGGAAATCTTTCCTTTTGTAAGAGTTACGGAAGTTCGTAGTAAGATTTTGACTCCACTGGAGACCACTGAAGGGAATTCAATTTCACTGGAGGGGTTTGAAAAATCGCTTTTTACAATTTAAAACTTTACGCAGGGTGATTTATATTCCATTGGAGGGATTCAGATAACTATCAGGGGGTTTATCATTCCACTGGAGGGATTCAGATATCCTTCCTGGGGTTTATAATTTCATTGGAGGGATTCAGATATCTATCCAGGGGGTTTATAATTCCACTGGAGGGATTCAGATATCTATCCAGGGTGTTTATAATTCCACTGAAGGGATTCATATATCTATCCATCCATGCGTAAAGTTTCAAATTGAAAAAAGTGACTTTTCCACCCCTCTTGTTAAAATAAAATCCCTCCAGTGGTCTCCAGTGGAATCTAAATCTTACTACAAACTTCTTTGAGTCATCTGAGAGAAATGATAGAGCAATATGACCGCGCCAAAACGTATCAGCATCAAAACTACACTGCTAACTAGACATAAGGAGAGGTTAAATTTATGTGACATTACTGCTACGACTTTGTGACCTTGTAGCTCCTCTAGTTTTCATTTTACAAACAAGTATAAGACAACCAAATTTATAATTCATTAATAATTTTTGTTCTCCCCTAGAGCGCTTCAATTGTGAACAAAGAACATATTTCAACCCTACGTACAGTTTACTCCAGTTTAAATGGAATTAATCTTTTCTCAATAATAGCACATCTTTTTTCTGGTTCTTGGAACCTAATATTTTATAGACGTCAAAGTTAAAAATTCTCTCACCGTCATTGAACAAGTTTAATGCAGCCATGACGTAAGTATAATTCTTTATAAACAAGTTTTAATATATAATTAATTTTCAAGAAAATGATGACATCAATTTTTTCGTTATTTTCTTTGGATTTTGAAGTTAATTAAAGATTTGACTTTGAGAAATATTTTATAATTTTACAAAAAATCGGAAAAAGTTTCTCATTTTCCAGACATTTAGTTCTCAAAGATTCTACAAAAAAAAATCATAAAAACCTTTTTAAAAATATTCTTATCACTTAAAAATAAATATTTAAAAAACAAAACCAATTCCAGATTAAACATTTGAGAGATTTAAATAATTTATTAAAAGAGAGGAAAAGTTATAAACAACTCTACGTTTTAAAGGACTGTCCACTTATTTTAATCCTCCATAAAAAGACCAGTTCCCTTCATACAAAAATAATCATAAATAAAAATAAAACAATTCCTTGTTATACTTTTGTCACTGTTTTTCACTAAAAAAATCCAGGGAAGCGTATTTATTGCTGTGGGACTAAAAAAGTGAACAGTCCCTTGATGTGAAACAAGAGATAGGATGATATAATGATGCAACAAGAACAAGATGGAGTAACAAGTTAAATTCTTATTTTTTCAGACCTTGTATTATTAATAATTTACTAGTCAACAGAGCCCCCGCTTAAACCCTTGATACTAAACTTAAATATCTTTAAACTAAATATAAACTTTGGGCTCAAGGATCATTTTGCAGTATAGCTTGTTGTAAATTACTTTAATAATTAAAATAAACAAAAACGTATTTTTGTTTTTAATATTTTAAGGCAAAAGGGGTGATCGGGTCCGGGGAGCTATTAAAAAATAATGATTATATAACCTACTCCAAAAAGAAGATTTGATCTAATAGACTGGGTTTAAAAATTCGCAAAAGGGTTAAAACATTTTAATAAAACTTGCTGGATATAATTATATATTCTCTACTGCGTATTAGATTCCATGTGACGTCATCAACTCAACCGGTTCTAGCCGACAGAGGGCACTGGGGTTTGGAATGTTTAGTTAAATTAAATATTTTCTCACAAGATGACTCTGTTTAGGAGGACTGGGGATCACACTGTAGTAAACGAACAATGGAAGGATCACTTTTCGCTCCCTGAAATTAACAAGATTAAATTGTTAAATATTTTTAAATAGAATAAAAAAATTACCTCAATAAATTCTTCTAGAGACAGTTTCCCGTCCATATTTTTGTCCATTTGTCGGAATATTTTATCCGTCCTTTTCTCCGGGGTGGACTCGTCATCTGGCATCTTCATCACGGATCCAACCTAGAGAAACAAATGTTAAAATTCCAAACCTTAACTCTAGCAGATATATTCTAACCTTAAAATCTCAATAAACCGAAAAAATAACTTGACAAGAGTTTTTAAGTTCAAATTTCTCTAGGTCATAAAGAAAATACTTGACATTTTTCAATTTCCATTATTTTTAAATGGCGGCTTTTGCAGTTGATTTCAAACTGCCTTAGCTATTAAACGACTTCAAAAGAAGCTTTTCAAGTTTAAACTAATTAATAACTACAAATCTATTTAATGTGTACGTATACTACAGTACAGTGTATACTGTATACACTAATACAGTGCAGTGGAGAGCACTATGAACGAGGTATGTTCAATAAGGTTTGCAAACAAATGTTTAAGGTACTTCTAGACGTCTCAGTCATGGAAGTTGTTTTCTTCAAAGCTCACTGTATCCATCCTTGATGTCTTCTCTCAACCAACTTTATTCATCAAACTTTTTATTTCTATGTAATCCGCCTTTTCCCGGAGGTTGTTTAACTCTGTTGTCACAGTACGGGAATGTATTTAATACCAACCCGGGAAAGAGGAAACTTGGGATGCTCGTTACACAAAATTCAGGCCTTAAACTTTCCAAATACAAAGCAGACACCTTTGAAATTATCCAAATACATTAGAGGAGAATAATATGGCCAAGTTAACAGTGACAAGTGTGGTAAAAGAGAAAAGACGTAATGGAGAGTGTTGGCAGAACGAGGAAAACCCACAAACAGTTGACAAATTTGAAAGTTTCGCAGACCAAATTCGCAAGGCTTTTGATGAGTTTGACATCAGCTATGGGGCTGCATACAAGGTTTTATACAGGGCAAAGATTTGGAAAACATTTGCTCCAAAGAGGTCTTGGCCAAAGATTGGTTTGCTTAAACGTAGATTACAACTATAAAAACCCTCAAGGACCCTTTCTACAATTAAGGCTTACCCTCCTTTGACTTTTTAGGGTTATCCAACCTCTAGAACACGCTTAAAAGGATAAAGTTTGGGTCGTAAGATTAAATATTTAGGCTGTGATAAGCAACGTTAACGGGCTCCGAGAGATAGCTAATTGCGTCTAACATATTATCTGGTCGGAAAATTGAACTGGTAGAAATATAGTGAACTTTAAAAAAAGTTAAAGGGTTGAGACGTCAAGAAGTACCTTTAAAAAAGTTTATGCAAAACTTATTGAACATCCCTCGTACATATAAATTAGATTAGTTCAATTGTGCTGGTCTATATCTAAATGCATGATTTCAACCTACTAATATAAAGTTCTTATTTACAATGTGGTGACAACTCTGACTCACCAGAATGTGAAGGTTTAACATGAGCTGGGAACTTATGAAATTACCGAAATGAGTGTGGCTGACATAAGAATCTATTTATCTCTCGTTAAGCCGATTAAGAATTGATTTAAATCAGTTTCAACCATTCAATAGTTCCAATCACTAATAATTTGAAATTAAAACCAATGAAATCTAATCGACAAGATTGATATGGTGGGAGTTCTGAATTCCTTACCCAAGATTGTCTTCTTAGTTTTTGGTTCTTAAACCAAGAAGAAATAAATAAATTAATAAAAAATCGAAAAAAAAACATTTAATGCATGAAGTCGAGAAGTAAATGAAAAAACTAATGAGCGAATCTTTTTCCTCCTTAGGTCATTAGCCTCATTGGAAAATTTGATTAGATTTCTGCAATCTGCATACATATTTATCACAGAGAACTTGGCAAAGGCTAGAAGGCCAAGTCACGCCAAGTAATTAGTATTTTAGTGTTAATTGATTTTTGTCCAGAATGAGAAGGCAACACTGCGAAAATGTGTCTGCAATTATTTGTTATTTTGTGAAACTGTTAAAATTAAAACTGAAAAATAAATGTAATTTTTTTTTATCTAGAAATTAGAATACAGGACATTTTGAAGTCCACAGCACTGCAGCTGGATCGTTAATACATTTTTGTAAATAATTCATCAAGAAATGTTTCAATCTCAATCATTATTTCATATTTGGCTGGTTTTGGATAAAGGAATTGAGTCTTTGCCACAAACTCTGATTTTCTAATCCCAATATCTTAGCAACCAAATGTCGTATACCTAAGATATTTCAAACTATGAATTATGTCATTAAATAATTCAGGTTTGAAATATCAAAGATTTGCACAATCAATTGCAAAGATACAGAGATTAAAAAATATGAGTTTGTGGCAAATACTCAATTCCTGTTGTTAGATCCTTCATGGGTTGAGAACAAAGGACTAAGTGTTGGAAACTTTTTTAATCTCAACCAAACATAGTAATGACCCAACATTTGTAAATTAAAATAAAATTCCAAGATTTTTCATCACATATTGCGTTTATATATATATATATATATATATATAAACTAAACTCTTACAGACTGAAAGAAAAGATAAATATTTATAGGGGATTAAAAACTCCTAAACTTAATGCATATTGTAATAAATTCTATGATAAGGCGTGCTCTAATGTGTGCTGTGCACAGTATGCAAAAATAACCTGAGTTAAAGAGACACAGAAAGATTTCACAACTATTTTAATAGTACTTTTGTGTATATTCTCTCTTTTGTCTATTAATTATATACAAATGCTCAAAATGCATGAAAGATGGAAAATGATACAATAGGATTAGAGAAAGGAAATGGGAAGGAACATCGCAATGTGAGAAATGAAATGGGAAGGATAGGTTTAATGAGAGAAGTGAAATAGGAAGGAAATTTGCATTGCAATAAGAGAAGGGAAATGGGAAGGATAGGTTAAATGAGAGAAGGGAAATGGGAAGAATATTTGCATTTCCAATAAGAGAAGGAAAATGGAAAGGTAAGTTTCAATGAGAGAAAGAAAATGGGAAGGAAAGTGCAATGAGAGAAGAGCAATGGGAAGAAAAGATGCAACGTGAGAAAGGAAATGTGAAGGTAAGGTGCAATAAGAGAAGGGAAATGTGAAGAAAAGGTACAACGAGAGAAGGGAAATGGGAAGGAAATTTGCATTTGCAATTAGAGAAGGAACATGGAAAAGTAAGTTTCAATAAGAGAAAGGATATGGGAAGGAAAGGTGCAATTAAAGATAGGAAATGGGAAGGAAAGGTGCAATGGGAGTAAAGAAATGGGAAGGAAAGGTACAATGAGTAGAGGGAAATGAGATGGAAAGAAGAAATAAGAGAATGTAAACGAGAAGAAAAGTTGCAATGGGAAGAAAAGATACAATAAGAGAAGGGAAATGGGAAGGAAAGGTGCAATGGGAGTAAAAAAATGGCAAGGAAAGGTGCAATGATTAAAGAGAACTGGAAAGGAAAGGTGCAATTAGAGAAGGAAATTGGGAAGAAAAGATACAATAAGAGAAGAGAAATGGGAAAGAAAAATGCAAAATGAGAGTAAAAAAATGGGAAGGAAAGTTGCAATGATTAAAGAGAAATGGGAAGGAAAGGTGCAATTAGAGAAGGAAATTGGGAAGAAAAGATACAATAAGAGAAGGGAAATGGGAAGGAAAGGTGCAATGGGAGTAAAAAATGGCAAGGAAAGGTGCAATGATTAAAGAGAAATGGGAAGGAAAGGTTCAATTAGAGAAGGGAAATGTGAAGGAAAGGTACAATGTGAGAAGGGAAATGGGAAGGAAAGGTACAATAAGAGAAAGAATGGGAAGGACAGATGACATAAGGGAAACGAAACGAAAAGGTTTAATTAGAGAAGAGAAATAGGAAGGAAAGATGCAATGAGAGGATGAAAATAGGAAGGAAAATGAAATAATAAAAGGGAAATGGGAAGGAAAGATGAAAAAATGGGAGGGAAATCGGAAGGAAAGGTGCACTTAAAAAGGGAATTGAAAAAGATTTTTTTTGGAGTAAAGTAACAAAAAAACCAGCTGGATTTAGGAAATGGAATTCTAAAAAGATTTAATTCAAGGTTACAATATTGCATGTTGGGAGGAGGAATGTAAAATATCTTAATTCAATAATTTATCATCTTTTTGATAGATCGTAGAAGAACATTAAATAATATCAAATTAATTTACGAAAATAAAGAAGTTCCTGATCTATATTAAAGTTAATTTATTTCAATATTTAGTTAAGAAATAATAGAAAAGAATATTATTCATCAGTTTAGCATAAATTGGAGGCTTAATACAACAAAACTTTTAAAACTTAGTTAAGTTTTACCACGCCACAACACAGATGGAGACCATTTTACATATTTATGCATGTTTCAAGATAAAATAATTTAAAAGTAATTAATTAAAAAAAATGCAAGCATGTGAAGAAGAAAACTAACGGATTTTCTGATTTATCTACAGATTGTAATTAACGCTACACATTTTGTTTACAAGCGGTTTTATATTTAAGACATATTAAAATATTTTTTCTAGGAATCGCCGCTCTTAAAATAAATATTTACATTACAATTTTTGAAAACAACGCAAGACATAGAATTTTCTGGATTTTCAATCAATATATGTAACGTAAGCTGTGTTGAGTTCACACGTTAAGCAAGCATACACTCCGGTTTTACGGTGATTTAAACACATTTTTAGAGAGAAAAACACAGAGATCTCTGTCCTATTTGTGTGTAGGGTCACACAAACTAACACTTACAATCCTTTTAACTAATTTTAAGTCAAAGACCTAAAATTAAACTGTTCATGTTAAATATGTTAAATATATATGTTATGTTAAATATGTTCATCATTTTCTGTATGCCTTACTATACAATTTTAAAGCTGGTTTTTGTAATCTTGCGTTTAGCCTTTTTTAATGTAAAAAATAGAATTGTATGTTAAATAATATATCCTTGGAATAAAAGCAGCCTATTGAATGTATAATACTGGGTTTCAAGAATACTTCAAGGAATCTCTATTCCAATTTCATTTTGACATTTTCTCAAATGCTGGAAATGATATTTGTCATAAGAATTCTCCGAACCGGGTTTAACTATAAGCAGTCTTTAGATTTTTAAAACAATTGTTGGTGAATCTGTTATGG